TAAAAAACAAGTACAAGAACTTGTGCAGAATAAAGATTAAGATACTGGCAGCAATTTCACAATTAAATTAAAATTAAGATAATAATTCAATATCTGCTTGGTGTGAAAAATATAAGACAGCATCTCCAGATTTATGGCACTTTCTTAGAAAACAAGTTCTGTACCCAGAGTATTTAGAAGTAAATATGGTGGTTAAGCATCTTACAAATTAAAAATTAAATAAGAAACAGACATAAATCTTTTGTGTATAAATCTTTTTTTTTTTGAGGGGGGGGGAAGGGGAAAGAGAGAGAGAGAGAGAAAAAAAAGGGATAAATAGTGTTAATGGTGGAGTAAAGTTCACTTCCAACTCTCCAGAAAATAAAATAGAAATCTTATACATAGCACAAACTGAAAGCAAGCTAGGTCTCAGTTAAGCTAAGTTATAACAGTTGCCACATTTAATAGTTACTATGACCATATGAGACTAAATGCTCTCAAATCAACACTTAGGCAAGTGCTGAATGGAACCACTGATACCAATGTCCCCTCTGCACATGAAGGTAAAAGCATGATGGCATCTAATGCAATTCACACAAATCACACCTGTCATGCTGCACTTGCATGGCAGGAAACACAACTGTGGGATTGCACATTAGATCCCATCGTGCCTTACTGCCAATGCAAGAAGCAGGCTCCTGCAGCTAAGAGCCCCCCACTGGCTACTTGAGGGGCTTCAAAACATAGGGGTAACTCCACACACCGCCGCAGCAGGAGGATCACTACACGGCTCTGTCAGATTTGAATGAATCAGTGAATTCTGCTAAATACTTTGTCACAGGGACACAAAACAGGAAAGAAACATCATGAGGGGAAAAATAAATAAATCAAATGCATCTTGAAAAAGTACTTTTAAGCTAACTTGGGAACACAAACATTAACTTGCCTTGATCATCACCTCATTACTGGGAAATATTTACAATAAATTCTTTAGATTTCTTAATGGTATTTTCCTCTTACCTTACACCATGCTTGGATCTACATATATTCTTACCTCTGGTTACCAAGGTTTTGGTTTAGTTACAATATCTCTTTATTATTTATGTTAAGAGCTGTCACTAACATTAGAAGCAGTGCTAGATCCTTAATTAGACAAGCAATAAATTAAGATAGATATGGAACACCTTAGGAAGTTAACTATTTTATTTAATATACTTTTAGTCAGAAAATTCAGTCTTTTTGCTGATTTTCCAATACCTGAAACACTAAGTTCACACTAGATTTTTTAACTGCAATTAATTTTACAGCCAAGCAATGGACTACCTTCTTCCTTGCAAGTGAACTATGTAAAAGAAGGTGCATCAGATGACATTGTTCCTCATGAAAAGTCTTGCTTGTGTTTACCATGTTTCATGAGTTACTTCTGACAGTTCCCAGGTGCTGCTGAAACGCTACAACATGGAAATCAGTAGTGAGAAATAGCTTATTTTTAAATGAAATGGTTTATTTTTGAGCTTCTGAAAATGGTTTATTTTTAGATCATTGGGTATTAAGGACAGAAATGACTGGTATGTATGTTAAATCCCAGAGTACCCAATTACTGAAGCTTTCAGAACTGTCAAAAGGAATTTAGCTAATTTTGTACAATCCATTTGTAATAAATGAACAAAAGTCAATAATCAACCACAGAAATTTAGATTTATGAATTACTTCAATATACACCAACATGCTCTAATTTAGGGAAATTTTGCCTAAACATACTTCCCAAAAGAGCAATTTCAATTAGTACTGCTACATGATGCTTACATTAATTATTTTTCAAAACAACAAAGGGCAGGCTTGCCCTTTGGATTAGTTAATATAAACAAGTATACATATGCATAAACACCAAAGATATAACATAATTCTTTTTTGTTGTGCACTTGTACAAAAATCTTTTCCTAAATAACAATTTGATTAAGGTATGTTCAGCATTAACACCTATAAGGAAAAATTACAAGTCATCTTTAGTTCATCACAGCTCTGTTATGTGTATAATACTCAGCATCTAGACATCGAAGTTCAGGATGGGTAATTAAACAGGACTTGCAATATTCAGGGTTTTTTTTCAGAATCAGAAGTGCAATATGCTATCGCATGACAGAAAACTGGAGGCAGAGATGAGGCAATTCCTGTCAGAGGTATCTTTAGCCAAACCTTTTTGACCAAGTAAAGGCACAGCATTAACTAGTACTGGAGGACATACTGGATTCTCCAAGGAATACTGTCACAACATGTGGCCATAAATGAAATGGGAAAACTGAGTGGATGAGCTGAACAAGCATCTGAAGAGACTCCTAGAAAGCCAAAAAAGTTAATAAAATGACTAATATACTTCTTTATTTTAAAAAATACAGAGATTTATAAAAATACCACTAGTTTTCAGGATTTGATTTGCAAACCTATTCATTCTTTAAACACGTCTACTGTCAGTGATTTGGGAATCCATTTTAGGTAGTCAGAAAAAGACGGAAGTCAACACGTTACAGTGGAGGTTAATTAACTTAAATGTTGGTGGACAAGTCAAATCCGGAAGCAGGACAGAGTGAGAGAGATGGTGGTTGTAACAGCTCATTTATATTATATGTAGATTACTTATTTTATAAAAAAATGAAAGCAGCAAAGATTTTTTTGGGCAATACCTTTAGTGGACTAACTGTATAGTTCAGATAAAGTTAGACAAGGTAAATGCTAAAACCACATCAAAATCCACTGCTTACAATGGAAAATCCACAACTAAAAGTTATCCCAATTATGCAGTATGTCTAACAAAAGGTATCACCCAAAAATCCTTGCCTCTCACATAATTCTCACAGCTACATCATTCTAACACTATCATAAAAATGAAAAAAAAAAATCAGGATCCCATAACTGTGTTTAATTGTACACAAAACTAGCATAACTGTCTTTGGAAAACCAGACTCTGCTCAGCCACAACACAGGAATTTTGGAGGCAAATGGATTCACCTTTTTCCCCCATCTCATGTGTGGCCTATGTAAAAGACAGCATAATTTTAGCCCTTATACTTGCTATATAACAGTGACAGGTTCTCTTTTTATTTCCAAATGGGGAGGATGTTAAGCTGCACACCCTGCATAGGTACAGCAGCATCTACTGTACCTTCCTAGTAGATGCAGTAATTCTGAGCATTTCCCCGTAACTCTGCATTACCCTTTAGGCCATGGGCAGGCAATTATTTCGGGAGGGCTGCTTACCAAGTTTTGGCAAGCCATCAAGGGCCTCATGACAGGCAGCCAGGGGCAGATGAATATTAATTTTCTAATTTTTTTGAGGGACCCCGTGAGCCGGATAAAATGGCCTGGTGGGCTGCATCCAGCCTGCGGGCCGCATTTTGCCCACCCCAGCTTTAGGCTAAGTACAAATAGTCAAAAAGCCTGAGGCTGAATTGATTCCGTCTGTGCAGGATAGTCCAAGCTACATAAATTGAACCAATAAACAAGTGAACAGACATTCACTTTTGATTCTGGAAGTGTAGCCACATGCCTGCAGTGGCTAAAAGCCAGAAGCCAGGGGATACTACAGCACACCTCCCTGCTCAGCAGGAGTAGACAGTTTGGGGCAAGGTTACTCTCCCTGACCCTGAGAGGGAGTAGGGTTTGCAAGAGAGGTGCTTTAACTAAAGCTCATTCAACAAGCTTCAGATAAAATATCCCTGCTGCCATTCTGAAGTATGGGGACACTGATGCATCAGACACTGCAGGCACTGTAACTGGAGAGGCTCTCAGAGCCACTTTAATTAAAGTGTCCTGCCCTACCCGTGGAGCACATGTAAAAACTCCCTTTAGGTTTATCCTGTGAATCATGTTTAGACACCTGACAGTGCTAACACTGTGTAGCACAACGTGCCAGAGCACTCTGGTTGAGATGCACAGTATTATGCATTTTATTTCAATCTTTACACTGTATTCAGTGACCTGAGCATTCAACCAAAACTATTAAAAATAGACATAATGACTCTTAAATAGGAACTGGAGCAGGGGAAAAGGTCCTCAGGTATCAACATTTTTACCACAGACTTCCAGTACTTCAAGGAACTAACAACTCAGATGTTTCACTACTTTGCCTCGCAGCTGTCAGTGTCCATCACCTTTAATGGTCAAAAGGATGTGGTTACTGCAAATCAAGTCTTGTTTATACTCCTACATCTCTGAAAAAGAAATTTAAGCAATGTAGTCCCCAAACTTCCTTGCTGAGAAAAGTTCTTTTATTCCCACTAATAGAAAAAACTCAAAATGTTTAATTTATCTGACATGGAAACAGATGAACAGAATCACATTTATAAGCCTGTGATAACTAAAGAGCATGCACGAAGTGACTAATCAGATAACAAAACTATACCAACCCTACTGAAGCAGCCTAACAGCAATCATTTTGCTGGATATTACTCCATGGATGCAAGGTATCACCACGTCACAAAAATGGGGGAATGATAAAGGGGAGCTACAGAGTTTCTCTACGTGGCAATGAAATTAGATAAAACATTGCCTTTAGAGGTGGATGGAAACAGAAGAGGAAACCACAGTTCTATTGACCACAACAGAGGTGTGCATACTCATTTAACCAATCAAGTCCATTAACAGAAACAGAGACTTGTTCTGAAGCTCCAGCAGCCGGAGGTAGGGTACAAAAGTAACCAATTTATAAGAGAAAAATCACTAGCCAAATTCAGTGATTTGTATGTAAAAAATTCTACAAAGGAGCTTTAGGAACTATATTAGTTAAAAGGAAAGCCTTCATTGGCCATAACCATCTGCTGAAATTGGACATATAATCATGTACAACATGTTCCATAATATAACCCTGAAACAGAGCCAGACAGTAAGCAAGAAAAGAGTATGTATTCTTTAAACTGGGTGTATGAAATATAATTCTTCAAGGTTTTAAAACCAGGGCCTTCTCATGTTGTAACTCACTCAAAAAAAATTACTGATATTTTAACAAAAAGTAAAAAATTACTTGCCTCTACCTCCAAAACTGCTGGATCAAGGTTGCCTCTGCTCTTAAAGGAGACCTGCAAAGGAAAAAAAACATGGGCTTGTGCCCTGTTTTGCTTCTTTAGGATGTTTAAAAGAGGCACGGAGGCTTGGGGCTTTGGTGAGGGTGATCTTTTCCTGTTTGTTTACATTTGAAAGTCATGTGATGCCTAGTCAGAAAGATGCTAGGATGAAAGAACTAATTAGAAGTAGAGGTGCACTGTTACATCAGTTCAATATTAGATCAGTACCAATATAAAGAAAAGTGGCTGTATTGCATATTGGCCTGATAGGGCCAATAATTTGGCCAATAAATACCTGTGCTGCACGCAGCTGCAGCACAGCACTTAAGCAGCGAGAAGCAGAGGCCAACAGCATGGAAAGCTGCCTCTAGCTGGTAAGTCTGTTGTGGTGGAAGGGGAGGGGGGAGGGAAGGGACATGGGAGGGGGCAGATCAGTGTCCCCCGCGGTGAGGGAGGGGACAGGGGGGAGGGGTGGAGCCACAGCTCGTGTGTGTGTGGGGGAAGAAAGCAGCTCCCACTGCTGCTTGCACCGCGGGAGGGAACACAAGGTGGGGGTGTGCCCTCCGGATCTATGTAGGGCAGGGTGGGGCGGGCTACAGCCAGGGCTCTGTGGGGCTGTTCTCAGAATGGGCGCTGTTGGCCCTGGGAGGATGCTGCATCCACCCCAAATTTCACCGCCACTCTGCTCCCAGCGCCGCTGCCCAGTACAGCCCCGGATCTGCCTGGCATGTGGGTGGAGGCGGGGCGTTAAGCCAGGGCTACACTGGGCAGCTGGTGGCAGCAAAACTTAGAGCGGATGCAGTATCCTCCCTGCACTGATGGCATCTCCTCTTAACTCAGGCCCCAATGAGAACAGCCCCGCACAGCTCCGACTGCAGCCTGCCCTGCCCTGCCCCGCGCAGATCCAGAGGGCACATGCTACCTCATGCCCTCTGGGATGCAAGCCCCTCCCCCCACAAGCCGTGTACCGCACCTGCCTTGCCCTGGCTGGGCAGCACCTGCCACTGCCCCCTCCCTCACTGGGGGGAGCGTAGAGTTGCTCCCCACCCTATGCTCCTTCTCTCCCTCCTCCCCTTCCACCACAACAGACTTACCAGCTGGAGGCAGCTGCATCAGAAAACAGATCAGTATCGGCCGATATGCCTCCTTAAATATCGGCTATCGGAATCGGCCCCAAAAGTCTCTATTGGTGCACTCCTAATTAGAAGAAAACACTGCAAGAGTTGAGAGTGAAGCTAAGCAACTGAGAAGCAAAGAGTCTTGGTTTTACTTTTTACAATTCAGTTCTTTGCTTTTCTTAACTCCTACAATTTGAATAACAATTTGGGAAATTAAGTGGTAAAAATTCAAACCCCTTTCTCCCTCTCCCACTCCCATTTTTTCACTGAGGTGTATAAGCTATCACTTTGCATCTGCTGAAATTAGGGATTCACTGTTACATTGGTGCGGTATCAGATCAGTACCGATATAAAGAAAATTGGCTGTATTGGAAAAATCGGTGGGAGGTGGCTGATCATTTGGCTGATAAATGCCTGTGTTGCTCGCAGCCGCAACGTAGCACACAGGCAGCGAGGAGCAGAGCTGGCAGCAGGTAAAGCTGCCTCCAGCTGGTAAGTCTGTGTGGTGGAAGCGAAGTGGGGAGGGAAGGGGCATGAGGGGGGCAGATCAACGCCCCCTGTGGTGAAGGAGGGGGCAGGGGCAGGTGCTGCCACCCCGCTGGGGTGAGGTGAGATGGAGTTGCAGCTTGTGGGGAGGGGAGTAACTCCCACCGCTGCTTGCACCCCCAGAAGGGCACAGGAGTGCGCATGGCCCTGGATCTGCATGGCATGGGGTGGGGCGGGTGGGCTACAGCTGGAGCTGTGCTGGGCTCTTCTTGCCGGGGCTGGTGCTTGAGCTTGGAGCAGGTGCTGGCAGTGCTGGGAGGGGCCTGCAATCACCCCAAATTTTGTGGCAGCTCTGTTTCTATTCCTGCCCCCACCAGGCACAGCCCCAACTCAATGCCCCGCCTCTACCCATGTGCCAGGAAGAGCCAGGGCTGCACCATGCAGCTGGTGGCAGTGGTGCTGGGAACAGAGCTGTGCCAAAATTTGGGTGGCTGCAGCCTCCCTCCCAGCGCCATTGGCACGTGCTCTGAGCCCAGCCTGTAGCTGCGCCCCACCCTGTACAGATCTGGGGGCACAAATGCCCCTGTGCCCTACCAGGGTACAAGCAGTGGCAGAATCCACTCCCCCCCCACCCCGAACTGCGTTTACCTGCCCCTGCCCCCTCCCCCTCACCGCAGGGGGCACTGATCTGCCCATCACACCCCTTCCCTTCCACCACACATACTTACCAGCTGGGGGCAGCTGCATTGGAAATTGGATTGGTATCAGCCGATAGGCTGATATCAGCTATTGGTATTGGCCCCCAAAATCACTATTGGTGCACCCCTAGCTGAAATAGCCTGTAAACCCCCTACAAAAAACCCAGATGACCGTTTCAAGTCCCTGACCTTTTCAAGGTCAAAAATCAAGCAGAAAAGATCTTTCAAGTGTCTTTCAAACCCTCTATATAGATAAGGCATCAAAAAAGGAGTACAAACCAATTTTAGGAAATGAAACAAAGCAAAACAACTAGCAAAAGACAAAAATGAAAAAAGCAACATGAGCTGGTTGAACTCAAAGAGGGTTCTCATTAACTGTTAATTTTCTTTTGGCAAAGAGAAGAAAGGAACGGGGATGCAGGTAATACATACAATCACCTGCACCCATAGTGACCAGGTCACAAAAAGTTCAGGGTTAGCTTTCTTAAAATACAGTGAAATATGTGCCCATGATTAGAGCAAAATACCCATTTTCAGATGAAAGAATCTCTCAGACAGTGAAAACAGAAGTAGGGCTTATAGAAGAGAATGGTTGTAACCTTAACTATAGGATTATTTCTAGTGCCCCATGTTACACTAAAAGTTGCTCTCCTGATCAGATTCCCTTGCATAAAAAGCATGTCTCACACAGTGTAAATATATTTACAATAGTTATGCAGGAGTGTTCTTTAAAACATATCCTCCTAAATCTTCTTTCATAAGAACTTTCTCCTGGTAGCAAAAGTTTATGTGCATGTTAACTGCACACTACAAAATGTAGTTGTCTTGAAAACAAGTTTATTACAATATCACAGGGTGCAACGTCCACTAATTCATAAGAAAAACGATCAAAGAAAATGCCACTATTACCTATCTTAAAGCTGGAGCAACGTGACACCTTTGGACATTTTTACATGTGCTTGGGGGAGAGGGACTGGGATGCACTTTAATTAGAGCAGCTCTAAGGCTAGGGACAGAAGTTATACACAAACTGGTTTAAGTGATCAGAAACTGATTTAAACCTGTAAAAAGACAGAAGTTCAGTGCACATAACCCAGTTTCAAAACGGCTGAAACTGCTTTAAGATAAACCTGGTTGAATGTAGTATCAGACTTAACTGATTTGGGTCAAACCGGTTTATGAAGCTTCTGTCCCAGCCCCCTTTCCTGGTTCAAGTTAAACCACGTGTTCTGCAACCCTGGGCTGGGCTGTTTGCTCCAGTGGGCCGGGGGAGGGAGGGACTGTGCCTCCCCCAGACAAACCCCAGCTTGGGTATGGGGCCAGGGAGAAGAGTTAAACTTTCCTTCCTCTGAGTACAGAGCTGCCCTGCCCTCCTAAGAAATTTAGTGCTGGCTGTGACTGTGGACTATAAATCCCAGAAGCACCTGGAAACAGGAAGAACAAGTGGTGAGCAAACCTGCAGAGTCCTGCTTCTGTAATTCTGGACTGCAAATCCCAGAGACCTCAGGGGCAACAGGAAGAGGAAGTGAGCACACAGCCTATGCTGGCTACATGCCAGAAAGCCATGGTCTAGTGCCCCCTGGCTTGAGCCACTGCATGATGCATTTCCTGAAGCAAAAGTGAATGTGTGTCCAGTTGTTTCTTAGTTTAATCTCTAACCTGCAAAGACTGAATTGATGCAGTCTTAGGCTTTTTGACTGTCTGTACTTAGCACAAGAGTGTCTCTAATTAAAGCGCCCACAGTGTCTTGTGCATCAGTGTCCCCGTGCTACAAAATGGCGGTGGGGATGCTTTAAGCTCATTCAACAAGCTTTACATAAAGTGCCCCAGCACCATTTTGAAATGAGGGGAGACTGATATACAAAACAGGGAGGCTGCTGGAGTGCATTAATTAGCATGCAGAGGCAGACTTGATCAATCACGTCTGTTTCAATGCACTCTAATTACAGCGCATTGGATTAGCCTCCCCACATGCCTAGAGGTACCCTTAGAAACTAATTGCTTCTGAGAGAAAGAACCTTTGATAAGCAACAGATTACTTCATCAGATTCATCTGAGGCATCTGACAAACTAGGATCTTACCTATAAAAACCCATGCCTATCTCTAAGATGCCAGTCTCCAAGATGTCACCCTGCCCTAACTTCTGCCTGACTGCAGATTAAGCTTTCTACTTCTATACAGAGTTGCACTGATACATCAGTCTATATCGTTACTGGCACCAATAAAAGGAAAATTGACATTACTGGCAATTGGCTTTTTTTGGCCAGTGTGGCCAATAATGTCACTGATAAATGCTGTGCATAGACACAGCAATCACACAGCCAGGAGTACAGCCCAGCAGCTCGGAGAGCAGCATCCAGGTGGTAAGTCTGTGGGGACGAAGGGGTGGGAGGGAGGGAAAGGGAGTGGCAGGGGTGGGGCAGATCAATGCCTCTGTGGTGAGGGAGCGAGTGGGGCTAGTGGAGGGGCACAGGCTGCACAACCAGGGCAGGGTGGGGTGCAGGGCGGAGCTGTGGCTGGTCTGGTACACCCCTACTTCTATACCCTTAAGTATATAAATAGTAATTACTTACAGAGACCAAAGACATGAAATGAAATACTGCTATGGAAGTCAAACCATTTCTTATGAATAAAGAATAAAAATACATACAATGATCAGGAAGACAAAGTAAGATGGACAAGAATATATGAATAATGTAAACCAGTTAAATA